GTTACTTCTGAAGGCATTTCTCCTTCTCGGTCATGGTTTTTGTCAAAATTTCATCTTCACTTCGATAAATCTTTCTCCGGCCATTCGTTACGTTCAGGTGGCGCCACAGCACTAGCTCAAGCAGGTGCTAATTTAGATTTTATCAAAAGCGCCGGTCGTTGGTCCTCTGAGGCTTTTTTAATGTATGTCCGGGGTCACGTTGCCTTACGATTACCTGAGAATCAAAATCATGTAATCGGGCACGTGTCTCATGTGGGCTCGAGAGTTTCTTTTTCATAAGAAGTGAGTTTTTTCTGTTGTTAACTTTCCTTTTTTAGTTAATTTTTTATATAAAATTATTATAGAAAGGTTTTCATACCTTTTTATAGCTTTCATGCCTAAAAAAGTATTGTTTTTGAATTGGTTTTACTCCAATCAAAGGTTTTCGTACCTTTTTAGTGCTTATTTGGGATAGGTTTTTACCTTCATTTTTGGTTTTCATGCCTATCTTATTCTTCGTTTGGTTTTCAAAATTTTTTGGGCATCATTTACTAATATGTTTCTTTGTTTTTATCAAAAAACTTTTTATTTTTCTTTTTTCATTCCCTCTCCTACTTCACCACTCTGCCTGTACGATTGGTAGGCGGGTCGGAGAGGGATACATATTTTTTATTCAAGAAATTCATAACCCTAGGCACTTAGCCTTGGGATTCGCCCAAAAACCTTCACCTGTTTGATTTTTTCTTACTAAGTATTTAGTAAGTTTTAAATGGTCACATTTCTAGTAGTTGGTAATGCATTATTAACTGATGGGAATGTGATAGTTGGGACTGAATGATTACATGTACACGTTTACTAACGGGTTGGGTTGTTTCAATTCCTTTTATGTTTTCCACAGCTATGACATCATCTGCTGTTTACCACCTCCCAACTCATCGATTCATTCCCATTCAGATTCCTTTATCGACGAATATCTTTGATATTTCTTCGACTTTGATACATTATTTTAAGCAACCCACCCACCCTTAGGTTCCCTGTTCTCTTCGGCTATGAAAGTTTTATTCTTTTAATTTTATTCAAGTTTTTATTTTTTCTTCTGTTTTTTTTTTCGTTCTTTATCTCTTAATAAAATGGACTGTGTTACTTATTACTCTTTTCTCATTTCTTTCATCAATTCATTTCTACATTATTAGTTTGTGTTCTCTTTTCTTTTTTATGTCCTTTATTGTCGATGTGTTAGTTATGTTAGTTTCGTAGTATTGGTATTTTGTCCGCTGTCCGCCCCGTAGGGATACATATTTTTTATTCAAGAAATTTATAACCCTAGGCACTTAGCCTTGGGATTCGCCCAAAAACCTTCACCTGTTTGATTTTTTCTTACTAAGTATTTAGTAAGTTTTAAATGGTCACATTTCAAAAAGTTCTTTTTGAGCTCTATCGGGGCCCCGATTTCCTATCATAACCCATAATTCCAGGTAACTATCAAATAACATCTACAATCTCAAGACGACTTGATTCAAAGCAAGAATCCATCAGGAAAAACACTCAAGGGGTGCTTTGGCGAGCTACTAGCTGTTCCTCAGCATTGATGAGCTAGTTTCAAGTAGCCAAAGTGTCTTAAAAACTGGTGTTTGGCAATGGTCAAATGGAGGAGAGGAGAACAATGAGCGGGCTAAAAACCAAATGAGGCATGTGTAAACCCATGCTGGAAAGCCCCAATAGAGCTCAAAAAGAACTTTTTTTGTGACTACCCATTGTAGGGGCATTCCGGGGTCCTGAACATACCCTATTAGAGCAGCAGCACCGGTACCTCGCAAATGCAGTCGCTGTATGTGACATCTTCAACAGTAATGAAGCTGTATGACATGTTTCCTGGTAAATCGTAAAATTTTGGCAAACTCGAGGACTTCCAAATGCATGAAAGTCCATCTAATACATCACCCAAATGAGAACAAAGGTTACGTCACATCGTCTGACACATCCGGCATCAGATAAAGAATTGATCAATATGCCGTATCATGAATTTTGTGCCTCTATCGATATAATCATCTCATCTTATCGATTGTTGTGTCCATTTCACCATCAATTCTTCCAAGTTTTTGTCTGATCAAATCTATGCCATGCCCCAATTAAGCAATACCAATCCTCTCGCGTTGAACAACCTTCTCAACTTATGTAACCAAAGTTCCAATTGCATGCACATGATGGTTGATGCCGGTCAAAGCGTGCCTGCTGTGGCTACTCACCTCCTTGCCACGGAAATCAATGACAAGCGCAAAGGCGGTGGTTCGAGGCCTGGCAAGGCTCCCAACATTGATCGGGACCGTGTTTCAGGTCACGCTCAAATGATTCGAGACTACTTTTCCAATAATCCGAAGTATACCAACAATATGTTTCAACATCGATTTCGAATGGGTCGACCTCTCTGGTTGCGTGTCGTAGCTGGTGTCACCGCTCAGGACAGTTACTTTGTCCAGCAAAGAGATGCTTGTGGTAAACTTGGTTTTAGTCCTTTACAGAAGTGTACTTAGGCGATCAGAATGCTAGCATATGGAACACCTGCGGACTTGAATGATGAATATCTATGTATTGCTGAATCAACAAGTTTGAAGTGTGCGAAAAGGTTTTGTGCCGCTGTGGTGGGTCACTTTGGCGCGGAGTACCTTCGAGAACCTAATGCGTCGGACACCCAACGTTTACTCGCTCAGAATGCAGCTCGAGGTTTCCCTGGCATTTTGGGCTCTCTGGACTGTATGCACTGGCGTTGGAAGAATTGCCCCAAGGCTCACAGTGGCCAATACAAGGGAAAAGAAGGTGGTCCAACAATCATATTAGAAGCGGTCGCGTCGCAAGACCTATGGATTTGGCACTCGTTTCTTGGCCTGCCTGGATCTTTAAATGACATCAATTTCCTCAATCACTCTCTTCTGTTCCACCGCCTGGCTAAGGGCGAAGCTCCGTGTTGCAATTATGAGATAAATGGCCATCAATACGACAAAGGATATTACCTCGCTGATGGTATATATCCAAAGTGGGCTACTATACTTCAGACCATTTCCCATCCTCAGGATGAGAAAAAGGAGGTCAGTATTTCATTCTATGTATGTTTCACTAAATTAGAATTCACTTACTTACTTCTAAATAATCAGTTTTATGCTAAGATGCAAGAAGCCATTCGGAAGGATGTTGAATGCGCTTTTGGCGTTCTACAGGCGCAATTCGCCATTGTCGCTTGACCAGCTCATATGTGGCATCCGAAGGTCTTGCACATGATCATGAAAGCCTGTGATCCTCAACAACATGGTGGTTGAGGATGAGCGAGATAACAGTGGTTTACGACCAGTGGAACCTCTGGTAGAGATTGCACAAGTACTGCACGCGGTTAACAATTTGGCTCCTTATCTTGCCATGCAGCGCAAAATCCAAAATCAAGATACAATGATCTGGTTGAGCACCTTTGGAATTTGTGAGGAGCAAATCAAATTCGAATTCCATTTTGATCTTATCACTTGTTTCCGCAGGTTACTTCCTGAATTATCATTCATATTAAAGGCGAACATGCAATTCGAACAAAACCTGACAAAATCCACCATTAGTGTGATTTCCAAGTTTTGCACGTGTGTCAGAAACCATTTTGAGGTTCGTTTGTGGTTCCCTCCATTCAGATTTCCAGTCATCTGATGGCTGCTTTGCCTCTTTTAACCCCATCCGCCAATCCAACTTTGCAAGTCAATTCACACCTAGGCAACTTTCCTGAAGCACCCAACTCGTTCCCAATATGTATGTACCTCGCACGAATCTCCTTATTGATGGATCTAATGCAAATCCTGTATGCATCTCCCTTCAACTTTGTCAATCTTCTTATCATCAAAACTTTCAATCATCAAAACTTCAACCATCAACTCAGAATCAGAGTCATTGCCGTGTTCCTCCTTAAGGATCCAAACCAATCTTCTTACTCAATAATAATCATGATTCTGGCTCGATCTCAATCAATCTACTCACTGAATTAAAATGAATCCTTTTACTTGATCGTGAGTATCTTTTTTCCCAATCAAGATCAAGGTCCCTATTGATATTCTACCTGAATCTGAATCCAACTGTTTTTCCTTGCCTTTCATAGTCTTCACTTTCTCACGATCAATCAAGTTTAAGGCAAATCCCAAATGCAACATTGATTGAATTTTTGATTTTTGAATGATGGTATTTTATGTAATACAAAGTAAGCTTTTTACTTGGTTATTTTGATCTATTAGTTGATTTCATAGAAGATGATAATAGACACTAAGCCTACTGGATTGTTTCTCTTTATATTCTACAAGACAGAACCTTGGAATTGTTTCACGACCTCAGCAACAGTTCAATACGTACTCTGGTCCGATTCTTCTTAATGTTCCTACCGATGGGCCTCCGATCATACCCAACTCAACTACCTACTCCCTCGACCCATCTGTAATCGGCCCTTCCACTCAGCGCCCTTCCTCATCATATTTGCCACTCCCGAGCGCCGTCATCCTTGGCAAATGAGTCATTGCCAACTCCAATCGTGCAAAAGGGTTTGTGTCTTGATATACAGTCGTTTTCAAAAAGCTTGCCGCTAATTCACCGCCAAATTGCTCGAGTTTTGCGGGCAAATTTCGGCAAGCTTTTTGAAAACGACTGTATATACTCGAAATTTGGTTGATACCACTTTGATCTTATCCTGGTATATATGTACTAACATTCGATCTATTCTTGATTTTAGGTATTGGACTGTACCTTGTAAAACCAAGGTGAAAATTGCAGTTCAATTCGGTCAAATGTCTTATTCAATAGATCCATCAGATGTTAGTCAATCAATCATTTCTTTTCCTTCTTCTTCTTCATATCCTTTTGTTTCGAAAAAATTGTCATTAATTTGATATCAACCGATTTGCTTTTTCCTTGCATTAGTTTAATTTAGGAAAGATTTCAGGTGGATCGAAGTGTTCAACATCTTTTTTTACGATCACTAAATCTAAAACAGGTGGTTCGATTCCAGAATGGATCTTTGGTGCAGCCTTTTTGGTAAGTTTTTGGATTTCCTCCGATCTGAAGTGTAAACAAATCAAACCGAATGTACAGAAAAACAAAACGAACAACCAAACTGATTTCCACATGGTTTTTGGTAGAAAAACGTTTATGCTGCGTTTAGAGCTTCACCACCGTCAGTTGGATTTGCCCAACTTTTGGCTGATATCGATCCATTTCCATCTATACCTGCTCCGATGGCCATTGCTACTTCTAATCAACTGCAGTACTCTACACCAGTCAAGAAGCTCTGCAGGTCAGCTCAAGATGGCGAGTGTACCAAATGCACGCGCAACTATCTTCCCAGTTACGCTCATGCAACTTATTTTAAAAAACCAAAAGATGCAGCTGTCGTACTCCCGCTACCACATACGCTCATCAAACTTCATCCAAATCATCTACCCTCACTGTTACTCTATTGTGCATGTATTGTCCAGAGGGTGATTATGCTAGGTTGTTATTATACAACAATCGGTTCTTATCGATTGATCCACTCTCTTCTCCATTATTGTGAATGTCCTGAATACACGATTGAATCTTATAATCTTTGATATGTTTGCTGACAATGTACAGGTGGAAGCAATGAGCAATCTCGGTACAACCCAACGAGCGCTTGGCGAATGGGCTGAAGTTGAAGAATGGTGGTGGCGAGCGATTAGATTGCGAGCGTAGGTAGTGATGTAAACTCTTGGAAACTTCATCCATACATTAAATTCGTCTTTCAATCACTTCATGACAGCTTTTTTAAGAGTTATTTATCAATCTTTGACTTGAAATCACATCAGGTCAATCGATCGATCAGTTTTACCGTGAAAGAAACCCATTTGAATTGTTTGGATACTTCACTCAAATAACTAATATCTTTCCCGAGTTCACTGACTTAAACTCTGGGGATTAAATTGGTACATCTCCTATCAACTTTTTCAACCATTTATAATGTTGACGTTTGAGAAAACTGACTATGAGATCTTTTGTTTTCTTTTGATTGTTAGTTGGGTTTTTGAAAACATTTGATCATCGATCTCAAGTTGTGTGATCTGAAGATAGATTTTGTTTTGCTTTACCCCCAATTTCTCAAAATCTTATCTACGTGAAAAAGTTGACTTCACAGCATGCTCTTTTGTTTTGTTCAATGATTTTGAAATCATAGCACTTCATACCAATTGTCATCGATCATTTTGAATTTAGACTTTGCCCCCTCAACTCATGAACCTCAAGATTCTGACAATGTCAGGTGATATCTTATGATGAGTTGAGGGAAAGCCTCTGTTGGTGGAAACTAAGGATGGTCACATGGGTTGTTCACATCTCTTCACTTATGCATAAAATGATTAATTCAAGTTGATCAATTTTCTATTCTGGCTACATTCTTTGTAGTTCAAGTCAGCTCACTCAGTAAAAGGCTTATTGAAACAATGAAGTACTATTGACCGGGTTATTCAGATTCAGCTTGTGATTATTCATTATTAAACAGATTGTAGAAGAAATGGTTTTGAAAAGCTCTTCCATTAAAAACAAAGGTAACATGCATTCTATGACAAGAGATGCTTTCACTCATACAAGCTTGAAAATGATCATGCTCAAGAAAGGTTTGTAAATAATACTGGATTATAGACTTGAGGTTTGACATACTATTGCAATCAATATCCTGATTTCCTCAAGCCTTTTGCTCAATGCCATGTGATATAATTTGACTCATACTATGAAGTCATCTTATCAATTTTTTTCAAAAGCCATGTTGAAACATCTGTAGGTTCCAAAAGGAGTTTACATTTCCCAGCCTACAACTGAGAGAACTTCCTGGGCCAATATCATCACATACAATAGTGATACTACTACATCTCAATCAGATATTCTGCTTTCTGAATACATTTGAGACATTCACTTTGCTTATTTGGTTGCTGGAGAATCAAGCATGTTTTGAGCATGACATGGTTCCTGCCCAGCACCAACAGATAAGTTGATTGTTGAAAATATTGACTTTTCTTTATGACACTACTCAATATTTTTTCATTGTTGTCCTTCACTTGGAATCAGATGCCCTTGCAATTTGAGGGCCAACTGGGTCAGCCACATATGGAAATCATGACAGTATCTTGAAAAATCAGAAGAATGATCATCATCATGGTATTGTCTGCTGCTGATTGGCTAACATGGGGAGAATTGTCTTATCAACTCATATCAAGCCTAAAGTTTATTTTAGTTTACAAGAATAGACTTTTAATTCAATCATAACTGATCTTAATTCTATTGAACAACACCAAATTTAATCATCTCAAGATTGACTTGATTTATGTAGAGCTACTACTTGCCAATATCTCATACCTTCTTCATCCAAGCAGCAAAATGGTTGAGACCCAGAGTATTGGTGGTTTATCAACTTAAGTGTCTTTTGCCTATATTTTCATGAATTTTATCAGAATCCACCATAACACATTCCATGTATGTTCACCATTTAATCTCTAACAATGACCTGAAAGTTTGAAATGTAGGCATTCTTACTTCTGATCACCATAGTTCAATACCACAAATTCATGGCTCAAAATGAGCCTTAGCTGGTTGATGACAATTATTCAAAGAGTGGAATGAATAAGGCAATGGTAACAGTAAGCTTCAGACCGTCCCCGCCACCAAAAATTGGGGGCGTACCAAATTATCAGCTCCCCGTTGGTTCCCCATCAAGTGTTAGCCGGTAGTGCCTGATGAAGCAGAACACTTTTGTACATTCTTTTCATGAGCGAGTTCTGGCCATCTTCTCTTTTCTTATGCAAGTGTCTCAACATATTTACCTTCTTTTGGCTATCTAAGAACTGTTATTAGGTCTTTCCAACCTTTAAATTCTTGGTATCTGCCCTCAATAGCATACATTTCTGCAAAGATTGAGGTAGCTTGGTTCCCCAATAAAAACCCGGGATCCTTAGCCCAAGTCACCGTACCAGCGGTACAGAAGGCAGAGATCCTCAAGCCTGCAGGTAACAGGGCTCATGCTGAGGTGTAGTACTTGCAGTGCACCATACCAATGATGATGGTGATTGAAAATCATTTGGTTGAGATATATCTGTCAATGTTGACAAAAGTATTCTACAAAAGTGAGAATGATGCACATCTTTCAAGTTCAAAAAGAACCATATATTCACAGACAACCCAAAATGAGTATCTGCCAATGAGACACAATGATACCTGATGTGCTCTGGAATTGAAACCATTAGGTGGTTAGGTAGTGAGGGGTTAGGGATTAGGCTTGGGGGATTAGGCTTAGGGCAAGGATATTTTTACCCTGCTTCAAGGGTATGTGACATCAACTCGGCTCCAAATCACCATGATTTCTCTCAATCCTGGATTTCAGCACAATTAGACCACACACACAGCATGGCTTCCATACCTTGCCCTGCCCCATTCCTTCCGTGTTGCTTGCTGCCAGTAGTGAAAACTTAACAGGCCTCCCTCATATTTCTCTGATCTATTTTTAGTACTCATAATAGATGAAGTGATCTCCAGTAGGTTATGAAATACATTCTTCTGGATTTACATCCAAACAACTGCTAACAAATCATTCCTGCTTGAGTGATCTTTCAACAAGCATAGGCGGATTGAGTTCAGTGGAGCCCATCTTAACATTATGACTGCGGCGCCCGCCGCCCAATCTGACTAGTCTTATCCTATTTTACAACTTACTTTTTGTAATTCATACTGGTTTCCGCTCGTTATTTCTGTTACTGTTCTCACTTCCTTTTTTATCTTTTTTGTTGTCTGCTTACTTTTGTAATCATATACATGTTACGGTCTCAACTTTTGGTTCATTTGTATTATTAAGTGCGGCAATGCAACCATGAAGCACACAGCAGCTGAGACTATTCACATTTGACATTGAAAAACATGAAAAAAAGGTCGTATCACAATCATTTACAAGAAGATGGTAAAGCATAAGATAATCAATCAAAATGAGTACATCACAACTCTTCAATACCTATAATAACTACAGGGCGTTAACTCGAAGCTGAAGCCAATGCCATTTGGCATCATTATCAAAATCATTTACAAACTCAGAACCTAAGTTTCCAGGGCGTAACAACTGGGCTGCAACTTCCTTTTCACCTGGAAGCTGCAAGTAGCGGCCAGTGTAACTATAGACCTGGCCGAGGGCTTCGCGGAGTAGGCAAAACTCTTCTCGGCGTTTGTCTTGGATAATCTTGATTATTTGACGCATGGCCAGCTTGTCATCTTGGTTGCGATGATATTCTTGAAGCCTTTCCACCTCACGCTGGGCTCTGGGACTGATGGTAAGGTCAATAACCACAGGTGGTGTGCGGTTGTTGTTGTTGTCATTTTGTCGATTCGCACGCTGGGTTCAAGGTGTAACAGTCAGGTCGACTACTTCACAAGGTGGGGTAATTAAGCCACCTTCTGTTCGTACCATGGTTAATAGTGACTTCCAAAGCTTCAACTTATAGATTAATGAACAACCTCACCTTGGACATTGGTCTTTGAACGCAGACGTGGGTCTAAGTGGACTTCGCGTCTAGGTGGCAAGCCGACCGCATCGTTCCTTGGTCCACGCTCTTCAAGAAAGGCCCTTGCCGGAATGTACGGTCTGAATCGAGAGCCTCCTGGTGAGGCAAACCAAGAAACTGTTCTCAATAAAACCACATGGTCAATGTAAAGTTTGTATTGAGTTGACAAAATAACAAAGACTTGACTTCAGGTGATCGAGTAATTCAACAATTTGATACATTAAGAGCAGGAGAAACGGTCAATGATGCCATTGATTAAATCCTTGAGGTTATTGGACGGTGTGATCGTAAAGCGTTAAAAATATTTATACAACAAGGTATATGAACACAATAAGAGGATGATTAGACACATCGTAAAGAGATACACTGACCAACTATGTATGAGGATTGTAACACTACACAAAATGTCATCTTTACCGGGCGGTAAAGAAAACTACTGACATAGAAAAGTCCTGAGGCAACAGGAAGAGAGCTAAAAATCTGAAAAAATATGCACCTTGTTCCTAGATGTTGTGGCGTCATGACGAGTATTTTTTTGTATTTTACACACAGATATTGGTTAATGTACTAACAATAAAGGCTGAGAATCATCAAAAACCCACCTGTAACAATACCTGAAATTTGGCCCTTGACTTTGAAGACAGGATTTTGGAATCTTCAAACATCAATAACTTTTTCAGTTCTGAATTAAATCACTCGATTTGAAGTGCATTAAAAAGGTGAGCCTTTCCTCTACATTTTTCATTGAGACATCACATCTGTAGCTGGTCTAAAAAAGATCCTACAGAGCACTTCATGCAGAACTGTTTGAACATATGTAGAGTGTTTAAATGACTAGATAGCACCTTACTAACATTATGAAGTGTGAAGGAGAATAGTTCAGCTTTTGAATGAACCAAAAATCGAGTTATTTGGAGCAGAATTGCAAAAGTTATTGAAGTTTTTAGACCACAAAATATTGTCTTCATACTCATGACCCAAATTTCAGGTATTGTTACATGTGAGTTTTTGATGATTTTCAGCGTTTATTGTTAGTACATAAACCAATATCTGCGTGTAAAATACAAAAAAATACTCATCATGACGCCCCAACATCTAGGAACAAGGTGCATATTTTTTCAGATTTTTAGCTCTCTTCCTGTTGCCTCAGGACTTTCCTATGTCAGTAGTTTTCTTTACCGCCGGGTAAAGATTACATTTGGTGTAGTGTAAGCAAGGGGATAGTCGTTATTTATCCCAAAAAATTGGGGGAAACCATGATCTAAAGATCACAAGCGCGACCGCGCAGAACCAATAGACAGACCAGCGCAAGCACAGTCATGACAACACAGGACCCCTAATGACCAAAAGAGTCAACTTTGACTCCGATTCATCAAATCGTAATGAAGGCACTTCCGAGTTAAGTCAAAACAATTTTATATACGTTAAAATTCACATAGAAAGGTAAATTAATATTTACGCAGAAAATATTTTTTTTTGGCAATGAGAAATAAACAAGCAGAAAGAAAAGAGACTAGGTTTGTAAAGAGTGACACATAAAAATATGATACATAAAACATTGGGAGATGATAAACATGTATAGTTATATTCAAAGGAAGACACCTCACAACTTGAAATAATCAGTTGAACCAAAAAAAAGACATAATTGATACTTCTACAGGATCCTATTCACCATCACTGTTTTCCTTTTCCATCTTAACCATCTGCTTTCTCGCTATTTTCGCCTGCTTCATCTCATAGAATGCCTTGATATCTCCATGAAGCAAGGAGGTATCAGTCTTGAGTACTACATTGTCAGTAAGAAAGTCGACCACCTGGCATTGCCTTCAAGAGTCCACTGCCATTGAGGCACTCGATTCAGCAATAGACCGGGTGTTGTTGGCGACTTGCAATATGTAAGATTCCATATTTTGACCAGTTTTTGCCTTTTTGTTACCCATTGGTTGCTCATGAGTTTCTGAAGAAATGATCTCGATGTCGGAGTCCAAGTCGGTTAGAGTAGAAGGAGTGGAACAGATAGAAATGACGGAAGGAGGCGGTTTTTTCGCAGTGGGAAGTTGGTTGGTATTGTAATCCATCCACTTTGGAGCAGTGGACAAGAAGGCATGGCAGTGTGAATCCTTGAAGTGTGTTTGTTCTTTCTGATAGTACATCTCGTTCCCATCGGCCATCAGATCTTGAGCTGATTTACCGCTGCCATTTAGGGATTTTGCCTTTGAAAGACAGGCCGCATAAAAGTTGATAGCCTTGTTCATAGGACCCCAGCGTCCAGACAGAGAGTCAAGGGAGCGGATAATTAGCTCGTTGGTATAGTTCTTATCCTTCTTCCTGTTTTCCTCATGGATTCTGGCCATGTTAGTCTGGAAATCATTCGTAATCTGAGTCCACATTGCATTAGAGCTCTGACCATTGCCAACCAGCGGATCCTGAGACACATTGAGCCAGGACTAGCATAACTGGAGATCTTTGGCGGCGGAGTATTTCAAACCACGACCAGAGGACTCGCCAGATTTGGAGGCGGACGCCGTCAATTTGCGCTTGCGACGGTTTTTTGGGGCTGGGCCGGGAGAGGTAGCCACAACAGGCAAAATTGGGGAGGCAATGTGATGTTGGCCAGAAGTGCTCACAGTAATACCACCAATTTGGTGGTCTACTGGAGACAAGCTACGTCAGCTGAGGTACCAGATCAATATATTATGTAGTTAAAGGAAAGCTTACCATTTATCGGTTGAGAAAAGAATCTTGGTGGGTCATCATTACAAGGTGCGACTGAAACCAAGTAAAACAGTTAGCTATGGGTCACAAATGTAACCAAAGGAAACATGACTCACCGGGTGATTGTTGATGAAGGAATTGGTAAGATTGGGAGGCGTTAGGAGATGGAAGTTGTTCGATTTGGTTGCTGTTAGAAGCATTGCGATGCAAGGCACATTGATCAATACGCAAAGGCAAACCGTTCCCTATGATATGACCTAAATTAATACATGATACAGTCATTATCAATTATCAGCATATTTGGAACAAATTCAACCAAAAAATAAATCAATAACATCTTACCATTGTCTCCAGGGTTTGGCTCTATCAAAGAGCGATGATTGCGATCAACACCAAATGGATGTGAACCGTTGTAGTTGTAGTTGGAAGGATGCGCAGTTCCGGATTGCCAATAGAAAGATGGGCTTTCTGGATGAGGATGCGAGATTGGATTAGAACTACTAGACATTGACTGCTGATAAGTTCTTGAAGGCTGTGATGACATGATAGGCCGACCACTGGGAGATGCAAACTAAATATTAATGAAGTAACGGATCAATATGAACAATAAACAAGGGTATTAAGAGAGAAATGTATAACAAGCAGATAAATTTTTGAGATTGAAGCGACTGCTGGGCGGTTATATACAAAAAAAAGCACATACTATTTTGGAGCACAACCTCTTCCACTGGTCAGTAAGTATGTGTTGATTCACATGGTGTTCCATCGTGTTCACCTTCAACGCTCTACAATTATAACAGACGGGCAATTCATTGTGATCAATATATCCACAACGAGATGAAAGGGAGCTTGCCTTCAGTGGTGAAGGTGGTTGGCCGCTGATTTGAATCGAGTTATGGTGATCGTGCAAAGACTGAGCTTTGCGTATGATCAAGGATTGATCGCAATAAGGAATATGAGGTGGATAGAAGGAAGGAAAGGTTCAACGGGTCCAAATCGGTTGTTTAACATTCAACGTTTGGTCTGCTTTGGTCCATTTTTGTAGTTTACGCTGCAGTCCATTAATGGACACTAGCCAATTGGGCGGCGGGCGCCGCCATTCTATGTTATGAGCTTACTGGGGATATCAATTGTCTTAAATGGTATGGAAATTGTTGAATCTGAGCAATGTTGGCTTTTAATTTTAAGGGAAGGATATAAGTTGCTGATTTCATGTACTTTGAGAATAACAAATTTTTGAGATATGGAATGAGCACATGATCATTAAAGTTGAATGCACTTGTTGACCTTTCAGAAGAAGCAATCCAGATCAGGGTTAATATGGTTCATCTTAGCTAAAAATCACAATGATTTCTTGTTATCCTTGTGGCTTGAGTATATTTCTGATTGTGGCATTGTGATTGCACCACAATAGACTTCTCTGAAGATTGTAAAAGGTATGGAATGTACCTGTCCAATAACCACTGTGATCAGTTCATTCACTAACTCTTTTAAGTTTCCAAAAAAACACAGTAAAAAGATACCAATCAGTGAAGATACATTCTAGAAGGTTTGTAGATGGATCAATATGTCAATTCAATCCCTTGATGAATAGTACACTTTCAGAAGTGACAGTGTTTTTTGTTCAAAATTGGTTGTCTCCCCTTGTCTATGATTCAAGATATCATAGCTTTCTGCATTCCTGATTATATTATTTTTCATTCATCTTTAATGATTTGATTCTAATTGTTTTGGGTGGTAAACCTCCGATCTTCAATTCACTTTCTTTGTCTTTCATCGATTTTTCCCTGCTTGGTACTGTACTCTTCATTATCACTTGGACTACTTCTACCGCCAATTGTCATGAAACAAACATCATGGAGGGTTTCAGTTAATGTTTACTCACAAGTTTAACACACTGCTGTGAAGACACAAATACAAATAAGGCTGATATACCTTTTGGTCACCTTTACTAAAGGGTATCATCACAAACAATTGGAAAAAAATCACCCCAAGGTTCCAACTAAATGATCCTTCCCAAACATGCAATTCAGCAATGAAATATCTTTCTATCTAGGTAGGAGACTAAAACATACTTTAACAAAACTTACCGGAGAAGACAAGTCATCTAGTTGATTCACAATTGGTGTACCTGTCAGCCACCAACATCTAGCAACTTTAATTCACAGCACACTTGAGTAGTTACTGCATTTCAATTATTAATGGTATGTGCTTCATTGGAAATGATTCAATGTCATTTAACTACAATTCAAAAAAGAAAGCAATAAAATTGAGTTTCTTGAATTTTAAGTGTTTTGATAAGGGCTAGTTGTTTGTCGCTTCAATTCATCTGGACCATTTCAGGGCTTCTTAGTCCTCATCCTTTCGGCTAGTTGGGATGAGATGGTAACTATGTTTTCAGTTAATTTCTACAATCTTGTTCTTGATTGATCACAATGTAAATTCATTGTTATTACACGCTTGATAGTCAAGTGAGAGATGTGTACAGTTAAATTCAAATATATATTCTTCTTATGTATTTTATTTATATATAATATATGTAGTAAGGAATTTGTTATGGATACCTGTCAATATGACGGAGGTTCTGATCTGCAGGACTTCTCACAGTTGACAGGTCTAGCTGCACAAATCAATGACACCATTTGAATTGTTTTTCCTAATCCCATCTAGACCAAAAGCCATGTGGATTAAATCAGTCAACCAAACATATATGTCAGGTTGTAAAAAAACTTATCTCATCCCCCAAAATTCCTCCTCCAGATTTACATGCGCTATGTGGAAATTATAGGGTGAAACATTCCGTATATGGATTATAAACTGTTTTCCAAAGAAATAAATAAATCAGGTCAACTTAAGATTAGTATCCAATATCATCACAAAGAACAAAAAGAAAAGATCAAGCTTACAAAATGGTTCAAGTGGTTCATAAGATTCAGTGATGCATTCTTCCTTTGGAAAAATATATCTTTAGAAAGGAAAAAAACTCAACAGAGTGGAAAAAAATTACAAAGAAGATCACTAAACTGATTCCAAAGTGGATGTATAGAATCAGTTTTTTCAGAACAAGTTTTCATATTTAATGACCAATTCAAGCCTTGTTCTTGATAAGTGCTTAATTCTAATTTAAAATTTTGAAACTTTTTGAATCAATTGCAGGTTTAACTTCATTTACACTCATTTTCAGAAAGTTTGACCAGGGTTTGCCCACAGAATTCCACTTTTGTTTGGAATTATTGTTGAGATTTGTGAGATTGACTGTATTTTCAGATTAGCTAGATGAAATTGAGCAGTACTTATTATTCTTACTCCATCATTCAATTGTTTGATGACAGCGCCTAAGATTTTTAGAACATGATTACATTAGAAATAGCCTATTTGAAAATCAAGTCCACCGTCTTCAAGAAAGATTGAAGCAATGATTGAAATGACAAAGATGAGAAAAATCACTATGATAGCAAATGAGATAAGTCTCAACCAAGTGTAGGTTAGGTTCATTTTAATGTGATTTGATGAATTGATGGTTTACGTATTCAATCCCATTTTCATTGATCCTGAATAATGCAATAATAAATTCCAAGGGCAATTAATGATTTTCTTCTCATCTGGTCCTGCCCAAGTACAGCTGTATTCTTTTATCAAGCCTTCACTGATGTTATATCACTGAAATGATTATAGATTTACATCTTGGTAGAAGATTGATTCTTGAAGACAGTTCAAGTCATGTTGGTAAAGTCTCAGCAATGACACAGACAGATGTTGTTTGAGTTTAGAAGCCACTGTGATTTACAATGGATAGATATTGATTCTTCTGAGTAAAAGCAACCCAACTTTGTTTTGATTGAGGCATAGTTTGCTTTGATTCAAAACGTTGCAAAAGGGGCAGTTTGATTGATTTGTAGCAGATTACCGGATCCAATATAGCAAAAGGCAAGGAAATGAGATTAAAGCGTGTAGGTTTGAATGTGAAGATTTGTTTTAAATTCACTTATGCATGACTTTGATGTTTGGCGCAATTCATCTAAAATGATTTGTTGAGTTTAGTAAACAAAGTTGTATAAAATAAAAATGCAGAGAGCTTTGAAAAAAACCGTACCCAAGATCCTTAGTAAACTTTGAGACTGAGCTCTGCGTAACAAAGTGAGATTTGATCAAAATTCATACGGTTCAAGAGTTTGAGCACTTCACGCATGTTGTTCTATGTTGCCCATATTCAACTCGGCGGATGATATGTATGATCATTTGCGAATAAGGTCTAGAATCGAAATCGAGCTGGCTGATGACTATCTACATAGTCTACCGATAAAGCTTCTAAGCTATTTGTGCTTGACATGTGGTACATGGAGATGGATGAGTCGATTCTAGAAAAGCTCTTCCCAAAAATCCAATTCAATCGGGTAAATCAATCTATAGATGGATCTTTGATCCAAAATTAGTCCAAAATGAATGTCTGATGACATGTAAGTTGTCCATCAAGGGCAGAGAGGTACTAAGTGGCGACTCGGCGACCTGCTTCATCAAAAATGGTGTGATACAATTGCTTTGAATTGGGGTCACTTGCCGATAAGGGCACCAAATAACCACCTCTGGTACAGTGTTGGAAAGGCCTGTGATTTGAACAGTACGGTGGATGAATCAGGCCCCGTTTGGTATAGCTTACAAAAACCGGGAGAAATGTATTATTTTTTGAAAATAATACATTTTACACTTTTTCAAAAAAAGTCGTTTGTTATCGCTTTTGCCCTCTTTTGCCCCTCTTTTCAAAAGCCATTTTATAGTCAATAATCTATTATTTTCGATCATTTTGAAAGCTGCTCTAGACCAGCTTTCAAGTTTTAATAATCCATTATTACCTGGAGGAAGCCTCAAAAATCGGGGCTCTGTCGCATTGAGACTCAAGACCACTTCCGATTAAAATCTCGCCGACTACAAACAAATCATTCTCTATCACACAAGCGACTTCAAACGTTCAGACTATCAACTCTACTCTGATTTGTACTTCAATTGTTGTAACTTTACTTTGATCTTTGCTAACAACTGTGATCCTTTCAAGTTCAACTTTCATTTTTGATCTTCATAATCATCGATTTGCCTTTTGTCTTTCAATCAATTACTGGTGATAATAGAAACAACATCACATGTTTCTTGGTGAACATACACTACAAAAAAAGAAAAGTTTTCCAGCTGGATTAGGTAAATATATTTAAGCCAAAACCTTCACCCAGATTAGGCAAATGTACGGATTGGCTAAAATGTAACTCTGAGTGGGGTTAACTCCAGAGTACTCTCAATTCAGGATTCTCCTCAAGAACACAAAATCCATGCAAGATGAGGGTCCTTTCTGGCTTGATTGCTTTGGTGAATATTGAGCGGTGATAACCCTGAGACCTGCAAACATGCTTTTATGTTTTGTGATGAAGATAATCATGCCCCGCACACTCCTCAATCTTCCCCAATATAATTATGTTGTTGTGCCTTCCGATTGTTCCAAAAAAAAGATGTAGGGTGAAAGATCGGAGAACTTTCTTCTACGACTCAAGTTGACCTTTATATTCACTTGTCAACCAAAGTGCGCGTCCCCAAGCATCCCAGAAAAATATAACCTTGATCAACCTCAAAGCATCACTTTCACTAAAATCATTATGTCCACTGAATCTCAAACCGACTCCGTATTCCTACCCACTTCGATTCTACAGTATGTTGGAGTTGAATCTGGTACCCCTCGGCTTGATCCTGAACTGGTTATAGAGAGAGCTACTACTTCTGAGATCCGAGAAATCCTGGTTTTGTTCTTACCTCATTTTATTTTTGATGAAACTGAAAAAGACAATCGAGAACTCCTCATAAGTATATTTGAAAAATCGGTCGCAAGACGTCTATCTTACGTGGTCATGCCGAGTCACAACTCTCCTCCGAACTACTTCAAAGCCCCTTTAGAGCGTCCACGATACTCCGCTCATGAATTCCCTAGGATAATCACATCAGAATCTGAAATCGACTCTGAACGCATGAGTATGTTCCAGGCGTACGGTCTCTCAAGACCTCACGATGGGAACTATCGTTTAGCCTCGGAGGGCCTCATTGTATTTATCCGACGTTACAAGCACCTCAATAAAGACGAAATCAACGAGATTGAGTCTTTTTGCAAACATGCTGGTGACGCCCTCCACGATAGCACCACGTACCTTCAAGATACTCATGAGTCCATCGAGGGGATCCGGCTTCTGTTACGTGAGGTCAATCTATCGTCCAAAGAGCACCGCCGATTGGAAAACGAGCTCAATGCTTTGATGACGAAACTCAAGTCACGTGAGAAAACTTTCGATCTAAAAGTTGAACAAGCTGGTTTTATTTCTGCTTTGGTGGAGCATCACAAGTGAGTTTGGTCTTGCAAAGTCCCTGATTATGGAGTATCTGATTGTCTGATCATGCAACTGATGAGAAAACCACCCTTTGAAATATTCAGGAAACTTTCTGACAAAGGTCAATGGTACTTCCCTGCAGACACACTCAGTTCTTTATCGCAGCACGTTGATCAAGGTGGAGTCGACGGCAAGCCTCACGACTCCAAAATCCATGCGGCTCATGGAAAGCTTCAAGTGGGCATCGACGATACTGCATCTGCTATTGCTGATGCATATGAAGATTCTCTAGTTGCACTTCATGAGAGTGTCTCATCCCTCGAGAATGCTCATAAGGCAATCGAAGTGATCCATCTGCTTTTAAGTCAGGCTGAACTCATGCCAATCCAACGTAAACTACTTGAAAATTCCCTCGAAAGAAAGCTCACAGCCTTGAATTCACGTAAGGTGATATTCAATCAAATTGTTCGAGAGAATGGGCGTATCTCGGCATTGGCGGAGTACCAGGAGTAAGCTCAGATAATTTTGTGTGGTAGATTGAAGTTGCTACTATGCATAGACTGACTCGGTTCTGCATTGGTCATTTGATGACAATTGATCATAATGTTAGGAACCCGTTTGTTGAAAGTGCGTCGGATATCGCTGGAAATTCAAATATAAGTCCTTTATTGAAAGATGTTGAAGGAGACAAACCCTCTGAGGAAGCTTATTGAATTGACCACGCATCATATCAAACCACCTAGGGTCAGTTTTCGCTCTCAACTTCCCCTTGGATACGGTCTGATACCATTATCATCTTTTTGCACAACAGAATGCTTTCATGCAGATATATTGCGTTTGGTTTGCTACAAATTTGTTCATGTATCACACCCACCAGCGTGCCTAATTGATCATGTTATATTTTTCACAAGTGTGGTTGTCTGAGTAGTGATAATGATCACGTAATTCTGGAATGCTACATCCTCCTGCCCGACATGAGGTTGTATACTGTACAGATTTGGCTAAAGTGTGACGTTACCTTATAATTACGTAACTCCAAAGTATTTCCAATTTAGATTCATCTCAAATCTCATATATATATATATTAGAGATGAGACAATATGATCATGGTTTGCTTATGATAGATCCCTGTCGATCAATTACCTATACAATGCTATGAATGGAGCAAAAAAAACAATCGTTGAACAAACGGGAGTGTTCCCTATCGTTTCTTGGAAATCAAATATAAGTATTGAGATCACTCTACCCTGCATGAACTGATCATGAGTGGCTAGAGACATGATATAATAGTACAAAACAAATTACGGGATCTCTAAGATCTCAAAATTTTGTTGAAAGACGCTCAATGAAACAAAATTCCACGTCATCATTCCACATTGCCGGATTAAAACAACATCCTGATGGAACAATATTTTATTCCTTTGAAGCTTTCATAGGTGCATCATGCTGCACAAACCGTGATAATACAACACAAATTATACTGAATTCGGGGTGGACAAAACATGTAGGTCTAAGGAAGGTGAACTCAAAATATAATTGTGTAGACATAATCCACTTCAATAATCTTTAAAAACCTTTTGTTTCCCATTGGGTCGATTCACTGATTACAAGAGAAACATTCTTGATGTTGGCTGTTACTGAATGGCACGAAATAGAAATACATTAAAGAAGGGACAATCATCAAGCAGGAGCAACCCAATGATCAGAATTTTTCACATCCAATGGAAGAATCAAATAATTAGATACCTTGGCTTATTCAACATCTTGGACCAAGTCGGCGATGATCCAGTAGTGATATCCTTCAACCAATTCTTCTTCAGTGTCAAGTTTCTTGTCCTCAATCACAAATTTACGGTACAAAGCTTTGTAATGTGATACTTTCAAGACTGGGCAGTTGACAAAAACCTCGGGGTGGTGAGCTTGTAGTGCATGTCGGATTTGATGGCTAGTAAGTTTCTCAAGTCTCTTCGATGACACAACGTTGGGCTTGGAAGTGTAGGAACTTTTCTGGAGGCCCTGAAGGAACGGGTTGACAAAGTGCTTGTAGAGAGCCAAGACCTCGTCCTTTAATGCAACAGACGATATATTAACTCGGGAATTTTTGGATCTGATCGCGTCACAGAGCATCGCGATGGTGGTTCGGCGGTCCAATGGGTCGAAGTCTGTATCTGTATCCTGATCATCATCTGTATCCATCGCATACGAAGTTGGTGCTGCTGTTGGAGAAGTGCAGAAAGGCGCAAGTTGGGGTAGCAAATCGGACTTGAACATGTCAATCAAGATCTTCTTGTTTTTATTCGGACGTGCTTTAGTGCTGGGATTGAAATGTAGCAAGATGTTGTAATACTTGAGGCTGGTGAGATTGTAAGCTCCGTTTGACTCCCAATCGTGGTATAGGAACGGATGTAAAGACACGTGAAGGCTTTGAACTTTAGGGTACAATGGATGTTGACTTAGTGGAGTATAGTTTGGATTTGATGTCGCTTCGGTACTAGACTTTAGGTGTACTTTCTTTGGATCTGAAGTCGGTGAGTTGGTCGGCGGCATGCCGGGCCCTGCTGAAAACTTGGGCATACCGCTGGGTGACGTGATTTGTCCAGAGACCGATATAATATCAGCCTTGCTTTCTTGACTACTTTTACCGCTTGCAGTAAGTGCAGGAGGCTTCATATTGGTGGGTCGCCTTGAGGTGCTTGGCATCTTTGAACGCAGGAAAATCGTGAAATTTCGCGAGATATCTACTTGGAGATCTGTAACAAGTTGCGGAGCAAGTCTTCAGGATTCATGAGTCAGATAATCAGCGATTTTACGTCTACTCCAAAATTTGAACTACTTACTTCAAGTATATTACTGATTAATAGTGCGTGATATGTAAACAACGGTACCCAGTGATCAGACTGAGGTTCAGAACAGGGAGAATTGTGTTTGATCAAGAAAGGTTGTGTAGCACAGATTGATGGTGGACGCAAAACGTAATTTATAAGCCAGTCGGACGAGTAGACAATAAAAGATGATCAAAAGATAGATGAGTACTAGAGAAAGATTCAGGATTACTGATTTTGCGGGTAAAGGTGATAATCAGAGAAATTGATGGACAGGGATGGAAGGGCATTTGGCAAACACAATCGACATAAAGAGTAGATCAGGAAAGAGAGTGGGGAGATACTCATGAATTACGTAAATATTCTATAACGCCTTTTGAGCGGCAAATAGTGTCGAGCAGTGGCAGACACAACTTGCCTTTGTCTGATTATAATGCTTAAATTAACCAAAGCATGTTGATTATAATCTTGGTTGCAACAAATCGCCCTTTTGTTGATTTGCAGCAACATCCTGCCGTACCTTTTTCATTTTTTCACCTGATCTGGTTGTGAGCTCGGTCAACTTCTAATTAAATTATGAGTTGTATCTAATTGGAACTGATTATACCCGGCCTCGGGAATGGCTGGTCACTGTTGTGATCTCCAAATTGGAGGGTTGCATCAAAGATTGATCAAGTGAATGATCATGTGCACCAACCCTCAGATCTCGTGTATTGATGAGCTCAACTTTTAGTTGAAATATTAAATAGTAAGTTCAACATTTCGTGAAATGTTGAACTCCTAATTATAATCAAAAAAGATCCAAGTCAAAAAGGTGAGAAAAGATTGTGATTCAGATCACAATGTACTACAATTTCAAAGCACAAAAATCAATGAGCAATCAAAATGTGAGCATACGAGATAATTAGGAAGCCACACATGAAATGTGAGTTCAACATTTCATGAAATGTTGAGCTCAGTTCAACATTGATCATCAGTTCAACATTTCATGAAATGTTGAACTCATTTCAACATTGATCATCAGTTCAACATTTCATGAAATGTTGAACTCATTTCAACATTGATCATCAGTTCAACATTTCATGAAATGTTGAACTCAGTTCAATGGTCAACGCCAGAAAAGTGCTTAATTATGGCATCACAAATGTATTATGACCAAGAGCACGGTGAGGCTTTTCATACAGAGGTAGGGCACATGAGACACGGGGGCTAGGCTGCCTTGATATGGGGTATGTAATTTTCCCTGGATCATTGTCTTATCAGCGTTTACAAACAACGTATTTGAAGGAAAAATTACAACACAGTGAAGTCATGATCATCAACTAATAACAAGTTTCTGACTCCTCGGGCGTCAAATCGTCATACACGGGCAGTTTGTAGAGCGGGAATTTTGGGTCAGACACAGGCGAATCGCGACAGCGCTCGGATACATCTAGGTACATAGCCAGGGCAAGATCATATTTCCTGCAAGTCACATGTTCCCACTCCGAAGGGACTCCTTCTCCATTGCCTTTGGGGAAGAGAGCCTTTGATATGCATTTCAAAACGTAATCACTTGCGCGTTTCCAAACGGGCTCGTCAGAAAATTCAACATTGCACATTCGACCGGTGACAAGGCAAAGTTGAATGAGTTCGGTTTTATTTGATCTCCTGGTGTCGCGGCGGTAAGTGAGGAGCCCCTTGAAACCAAGTGAAAGGAAAGCAACAAGGGGTGTTAAGGCTTGGGATCTGAGTGCCACCGTTGAAGCCACTTTATGGAAGCTTGCATCAATGTCGCTCTGTGAGTTACGAAATTTCTGAATTTGTGTTTGGTGATGGTGGTGGGCTCGGATGACTGCAAGCGCTTCAATACAACCGTAAACCGAGTCCACTAATTTGGTAAGCTGTTCGATACAGGTCATCTCGATAGTTTGATTGTGCGATGCCTTGTGTTGAGCCTTGGATTGAAGGTTTTGATAGTGCACGGCACATTGAAAAGAATCCTTGACCTCGAGGAAAGGTAGATTGCACTCAGTGAAATCGTGAAGGGGGGGGAGGGGTCCGGCTTCTGAGCCCACTAAACTGATTGCCGCTAACACAAATTTACCAGCCATCTCGAGGCGATGTTTGGTCGGGTTTCACATGAGTCTGAATGAGTCGCAAAGTCTCTTCTCTAGTTCATCGCTGCTTGGAGATTTCTCGGATTGAAGGTCGATGTAGTTCCAGTTGATACACGGTCTTTGCCCCATGGTGATTCGCATCCTGCAATGAAGAATCTTTGGCTGGGAGGTAGCAAAGCATAGTTGATGTAGGATAAG